CTAATATTTCATATGAGTAACAGCTGACATGCAATCAATTCTAAATCATGGTTAGCCCATGTGTACAAAGTAGATCTGAGTCCACAAGGCTTCCAATGGTAAAACTTTTGGGAAACAGGTTGTCATTATTTTTCTTGAGTCACCTCAGGTTATATTATAAGTGCCAGCATTTTTAAATACTTAAGCACTAAACTATTTGTGCTACCAGTATAAAATTACTACTTATTTAGCTAAGACTTGCATATAAATATAATCATGTTCATTGAGAGTCACCAAAAATCAGTGTACTTACTGTTAAAGATAAAATAAATCTTGCATGATATTATAATACACTTTTCATACTTTTGTCCCCAAAAATGATATACTCAAAAGTTCACTGCCATTGAGTTAATGCTGACTCATGGCAATCCTGTAGTTTTCCAAGATTTTACCTGCTGACAGGAGTGGAAAGCCCAGTCCTTCTCAGGTGGAGTTGCTGGAAGTTTCAATCTGATGATCATGAGGATTGCAGTCCATAAGACATTATAGTCTTCATGGATTAAAACAAATACTGTGGATATTAATTGGCATTTATTACTCTCATAATGACGAGATATTATTGTCCTTAGGTACCACCCAGGTGCTTCTGACTCATGTAACAACATATAAAAGTCTTCCCAATCCTGCTTCAGCAACACAATGGCTGGTATCATTGAGCCTATTGTTGCAGCCGCTGTGTCCTTACAGCCCCAGGGGGAAAGCCATCTTCATCTCTTTCATTGACACTCTACAAGCCTGATGTGCTTCTCTAGCGGCTGGTCTTGCCTGATAACCTGCCCAAAGGAGTGAGATCCAGTCTCGCTGTCCTTATTTCTAAAGAGTATTATGGCTGGTGGTACTTCATGACCGATTTGTCTGTTCTTCAGGCAGTACAGCATTCTTAACACCTTAACTCAACAGCACCTTAGTGCATCCATTTTTCTCTCTTCTTCCTTGTTCCTTGTCGAACTTTCACAAGTATATGTTGTTGTTTGGTGTATCAGGTCAGCTCCAACTTAGAGCCACTCTATCAATCACAGAAGAAAACAGTCTCTGGTCTTGTGCTATCTTGACAATTGTTACCGTATCTGAGCCACCATTGCAGCCAGTGTGTCAACCCTCTTGTCAAGGGTCTCCTCTCTTTCTCTGTCCATCCACTGTACCAAGCAGTATGTCTTTTTCCAGGGACTGCTCTCTGACACATGTCCAAAGTGCCTGAGACAAAGACTTGTTATTCTTTCCCCCAAGGAGCATTCTGGCTCTACTTCTTCAAACACAGACTTGTTAGTACTTTTGACAGGTCGTGGTACTTTACAAATTTTTCACCAGTGCCACTATTAATATGCATTGTTTTTCTTTGGCCTTCTTTATTCAATGTCCAATTTTCACATGCCTATGAGGCCATGTAAAATACAATGGCTTGGGGCAGTGCGGGCTGTCCCGGTTCAGCCTGGTCAGAACTGAGGGTCCTGTCGTAAGCTCCCGGATCGGCCCGGCTGTCCAGTCCCTAGCTTTGGTAGCCTAGGTCGGGCTATCAGCTTAGTGCCAAGTTCAGATTGTTTGAAACACTGGCAGGGTTTGAGGACAAGGCAGCGACCTTGGGGAGGAGGATGGGGTGCTCCACACACCTGTCTTGATTTTAGTCAAGCAGTATTTCTCTCTAGAAGTGTTCTAGAAGTCCCATATTCTCAGAGCTACCCATAGTTTATTCTGATCCACACAATCTAATGCCTTGGCATAGTCAAGAAACTATGGCTCAGCCACTGTGAATGAATATAATAGAAAATTTCCCTCTATCACCAGTTCCCATTGTTTATATACAGTGTCCAGTCACTGAAGAGTTTAAATTATGCACATCAACAATTCATATAGTGAGGTTCCAAACCAGCCTACAACTGAATAAAATGCATTTCTCAACAGTGTTTTAAACTCTATACTATTGGCTAAATTCATGACACCTATAAATAGAGTTACCGTATATCGCAGGAAGATGATTAATGATGTTCTATAACATAGAATCATAATGACATTTCTACAGTGAACCAGAGAAATGTAATTTGTAAATATATGAATCAATGTGATGCTCACACTTAATTCTAGGTGCAATCTGAGATCAATTACTTCTTATGACATGGCTTTGCTTGATGCACTGAAGATATGGGTGCTATAGCAAAATATGGCAAAGGAACTAGATAGTGTCCGGTTATTAGAAAGAATAGTATCTGCGGTCCTAAACAAATAGCTATCTAATTGAGGCTTCAATTGGGCCCCAATGTAAGCATACCAGCCTGTGTGATGCAAAAATTTCCAATGATGAAATCCAAACCTGATAGAGGGAATGGTATTAATGCTTAAATTTTGAACAATTAATTTATGGATGACTGTGGGAGCCCCAAATCCCACTTCCAAAGTTCACACTTGGATTAAAGCTCAGGTGGATTCCCTCTGGCCATAGATGATGTGATCTGAACAGGCTTGCTATCATGTAAAGTTCAGTGTGCTGTTTTGTTTTTCTGTATTTTATTATCTACTTTACCCTGTATTTGAAATCGAGGATAGGTGTGTACAGCTACAAAGCCAACGATTGTATTGATTGTTTCTTGGGGGTATAGCATAGGAGGTTGGGGAACCAACAAAAATGAGTACAAGAAAGATGTAAATGTTCTAAAATTGATTGTGGAGATGGTTATACAATTCTTTTTAATGATTGAACTCTCCAGTGGGTGGAAAGTCTTATGGATGCAGTGGCAGTGGAAGCTTCTCAGCGCTGGCAAGTGTCTCCAAGTGGCTCCTTGAGCTCCAGGGCACTAGCGTACCTCCATATGTCCTATCGGTAGGAATGTCTTGCAGTGAGTGAGTGTCTATCCTGCCTCCAGCAATTTATCTCCTTAATGCCTCCAAATGAGGTCATCAAGCTGTGACCAAATTGACAGGCTAATCTCCACCCCTCACTCTTAAATCTCAAAATGACATCAGATTATATATGTACCACATGTTGCAAATTATATTTTTCTATAATATTTAAAATATATTGATATATTACATGACAAATATATCATGTATTAACACAAATAAGCAATTTTAATTTTTCTACATATTTGTCTGTGTACTTACTCAAGGAAAGTAAGATATATATTACATAGGTGAAAGAAAATTAATATTTATGGAAATTTTTCCAGTAACTATGCAAATGTAAAATTAATGACTTCAAAAGTGTGTTTAGTTGTTATACAAACCATTCAATTTTTTGAGGGAATAAATAGGTAATTAAAATCAAATTTTTAAGTTTCAATTGCCACACTTATAAGTGCCTATTTCTTTCCCTCCATTCTCTTCTTCATAATTGAACTCCCAGCATGGATGTGCCTGACGAATTACATATCTTAGAAACAGAAAGTAATTCTAAATAGATGGAGTAAATTATGTGGCCGATGTTTTCTCCTAAAGTATAATGTAAAAGAAATGGGTTAAAGATTTAAAGACAAATAGCAACCCAAAGCAGGAATTAGAGACTGAAAACAAAAGAGGTCTTTTTAGTTATCCCCTTACACTTAAATCATAAAAGAGAAAGTTAATATGATTTTTGTTGGTGTGCCATAGAGCAACGTGCAATGTGTTCTGCATGCACATCCAGAATTACAAACCTTTGTTGTTATCCATTCCTCCGACAGCATACAGGGTTCCAACTGTAGATTTTCTTGGTTTAGTTCTTGGACTTTGCATTAAAGTCCTTCTTTCTGGCAATAGATGGTATTTCATTGCTTCTAGAATCAGCTTTTGACATTCCAGATCATTCTTAAATAATGCGTGATTTTCTAGGTCAGCCAATATCTGTGAATAATATACAATGATTGTTAGTAATACTTCAAAGAATTGTGCATATGATATCAATAGGGCAAATCAAAATCAGCATGCTGTACTATCACCCCATACTAATAGAGAAGCAGAATGTAATATGAATTAATTTCATGGACAACAAAATATAGTTAAAATTCATGGTTTCTATAAACCAGAATAAAAATTATTTGGGTGCAATATTATTTGAGATTATCTTACTACACAGAGATTAAAGGGCTTTATAGGCAGCTATTTTCCATTCCACTTCCTCTAGGGGAAACTGTAAATCAAATATAGTTGTCTGTTGGTAATAAATATGTCCAATGAAGAAAATAACCTTGAAAAATAAACTTCAACATATTAAGGCATAACAAGTCTATCCTACGTTTACTTCTATATATAATTTAAGATGTTCTGGGTATAATATAAACTATTTTCAAATCAAAGAAACTGAATGAAAATAAAAACACCTATTTTCATAACATTTAAGAATACTAAAATTTTTAAAGCTCTCTCTCTAAAAAATAACAGTTTAACAGAATTTGAGGGATATGTAAATGTCCTTCATTCTTCTTATTCCGTACCGTGGAGTGGGTTCCTACTCATAGCAATCCTAGATAAAACCCTATATAAAACAGAAGGGAACATTTCCCCATCCTTCACCATCCTCACAATTGGTTTTATGTTTGAGCCCACAGATGCAGCCACTGTGCCAATCCATCTTGCACAAGGTCTTCCTCCTTTTCCCTGCCCCTCTCCTTCACCAAGCATCATGTCCTTCTCCAGAGGTTGGTCTCACCTGACCACATGTTCAAAGTATATGCAGGAAACATTCTGGCTCTGCTTCTTCCAATACATATTTATTTCTTCTTATGGCAGACCATGAGGCTTTCTTCACCAGCACCAGCGATCAGTTTTATTGCTTTTCTACACTCTTCGTTATCCAATATGCAACTTTCACATGCATAGGAGGCAATTGAAAATGCCATGCCTTGGGTCAGGCTACCCTCGTCCTCAATGGAACGAGCTGGCGTTTCAACACTTTGAGATCTCACCTAACTGCTGCTTCCATGAATATTGGTTGTGCACGTGTATACTTAGTTCATCTGTATGCATCTCTGTGTGCTAATAATCCAAACTATCATTATTTTTTGTCTTTCTCACTCCTTCTTTATGTTTTATTTTTCCTTTGTCTTTGTTTTTAGTAAATGTATTTTTGTTTCAGCGGCAATGACCGTTTTGAATATGGTTAGGACAGCAAGAGGCTGACTGTAACATTGACTCACTGACTTTTCCATTACTGAGCTCTGTGCCTCATCTACAAAAAATGCTCATTGAATGAATAACTTAATACATGGTGACACTATGTAATTAAATTACTAATTTCAACACTCTAATTTTAATCTTAATTAATTTATTTGGCTACCTTAATAAATTACTAAAGGAGGCTTCAAGAACATAAAAAGACATAAAACACTCATTTATAACATGCATGAAGGATAACACAAAAGCTATGAGGCTGAATAACCAGTCTAGCATATTAGTTACCAGATGTTAAATTATAAAAGTGAGGATGTTTAATTAAGTGTTGGCTATATTCTTTTTAGGTATATTCTGATTATCCACCTTGATACCAAACATTAAATGAGAAAAATAAATAAATAAATTGAAAAATTGTTTAAAATAGCATATGGAATCTCTTACAGAAAAAAAATTTAAGAAGATTATTATATTTCTCTTAGTAGAATACTTGTTTTCAAATCACTAAATATCATATATATAAGGAACAAGATCTCATTGGTCTATATAAGCTTAAAAAGGGATATTTTTAATATGATCCTTGCTTATCTATGTAAGTTTTTAAACTTTATTTCATCTAAAACTTTCTCTTCT